AAGAAGAAGAAGAAGAAGAAGAAGAAGAAGAAGAAGAAGAAGAAGAAGAAGAAGAAGAAGAAGAAGAAGAAGAAGAAGAAGAAGAAGAAGAGAGAGACAGACAGACAGACAGACAGACAGAGACAAGAACATACACCCTTCCATGTTGTTCCCCAATAATCCACCTTCTCCCATCAGGTCCACCTCTTAACAGGATTCAGCCATGAGCTCATCATTGGATTAATTAATCATGAGTGTAGTGCTTCCATAATCCAACCCCCCTCCATAAGCCCCACTTCTAAAAATAGAAGTCTTGTGGGTGGGTATTTCAGTTCTAAACAATAACATAAGTGAAAGTGTCCCCCGGCAGCTTCAGTGAGTCTTCCTGAACAGGTAGCTGGCAAGCTGGTACACAGACTTCTTCTTTGTTCCTTCCACTGTTGTGCTGGCTACTATGGAGACATGATGGCTGGAGCTGAGGAGGCCACCTGGGACCACGAAATGACTTTAAGAAGAGTGACCTTCTATGATAGAACAATGTTTTGAAAGGTTAGGTCTCTGAACTCTTTGAGGGCTAGAATTGCTAAACTCACCTGAGACTACTAATCTTAGCACTCTTGAGGAATAGAGAACCAAATCTTATTCCTTGTTAAGTCCCTTCATCATTCACACCTGAACTTGATCTACTCTGGGGAGGAAAGAGGAAGTTAGGGTGGAGCCTATGAGTCTGGACAACCCCAGAGGCTTGGCAAGGAGGGAAAGAGTAAGGGCAGCACGGTGGCTGGAGGGGCCATGAGTGGAGGGAGGAAAGGAGACAGGGTAACGTCGTTGCTGGGTGCTCTGCATAGGGAAACCTGGATTTGATCAGCAATCTCTAGCCATAAATTCATGAGTCTTCCTGAGTCTGACTCTGTGGAAGGATAAGTCCATTCGGAACCTTCCTCATGGGTCTCCGTGGTCCTTTGGACACTGGTCCCTCTTTTCCACCTAAAGCCACTAACCAAGCCTCCCCCGCAGCACCCACCCCGCGGTGCGCAGCCTTCTTGTGAGAGGCCTCTCCCTCTGCCCACCAGCCTGGCAGGGAGGCCTTTCCTGAGCGTCCTACCAAGCACCAAGCCGGTCTGCTCCCCTTTTGTTTCCCACTGGAGTACTTGTCAAAAACAGCTTCTTGAAGATGTAAGCCACTTGCCAGGGAGCTCACCCAGAATGTGCAATTCAACAAGCTTTAGGTGAATCACAGTCCTATTATTCTCATGAATCAACTTCAGAATACCTACCATAATATTTTTGCTACTTAAGGTTTATCACAGTATTTTTAGCTTTCTTTGTTCTCTTTTTTGCGTGCTTTTTTTTTTTTTTTTTCCGTGTTGCCTGTGAATGCCACTAGGGCAGGGGCTCTGGTGGCCATGCATGGACTTTGTTACCTGTCCTCAGCATCTGGTGGAAGCCGAGGGACCGACCAGGCACACAGAGGGACCGAGCAGAGAGGTGCAAGGAAAGCCTGAGCTTGTCTCATCTCTCCTTCCTTACAGTGGTGGCAGGCACCTGGGTGGGATCGTGTTTTCACCTGGAATCTGATCGTGGAGGAGTCCCAGAGAGGTGGGGGCGGGGAATATGTATCCCAGGGGGACTTACTACTATGGGGACGGGCGGGAAAACATATTCAATATAACTCTTTAATATAATAACTAATATATATGTATGAATGTATTTCCCAGACCAGAGGAAGTAAAGCTGGACAATATTGAGTCAGAATATGGTGTGACACTGAGAAGAGCGTAAGGTCACCAAAGTGGGGACACACCGACCGCATTCACTTGCCGCAGCGCCGCTGGACTTTCCCTGGGAATCTCAGACGCGTGTCCGCTGCGCTGGCACAATGGCTCTTTGGAGCCTGAGCCCAGCCCCCTGGGGGCAGTCCTTGCTGTGGGCAGAGGCCAGAAGGTTCTTGGCAACTTCCAAGCGGCGAGACCTGCAACCTTGCCAATGACTCAGTCGTTTCCCTGCGCCCTCCGGGCTGTGCCTTTCGCCGCCGCCACCGCTCTCCCCCTCCCACCCGCTTCGCGCAGCTTACTACGTCCCCCGGGAGCCGCGGGCGCACCTGGCGCCTAGGCGCCCGACTCTGAGCGCCGGTGGCCGCCTGGCCCGGGGCGCAGCTGCCGGCGTGCTCCCTCCCAAGTGGGGTGGCTCGTCCAGCACCCAGCGAACATTATCCAATTGCTTCCCGTCTTACTCGCAGGCTGGGAGCCGAGCGAGCGTTCACTTTCAACCCTCCAGGCGAGGAGGGTTGCCGACGGGGAGGGGAGACGGCTCCTAGCTCCACCTCGCACGCGGCGCGGCCAGAGCGCTCGGCGCCCGCAGAGGGGAGCAGCGCGGCGAGCCCCGCAGCAGCGCCCCGGCAGCCCGGAGCTCCGCGATGGAGTGAGTATCCCCGCGCCGCGTCGCTCGGCACGTTGCCATGGCGACCAAGGCGGGAGGCTGATCCCGGCTCGGTCTCAGTCCAGCATGGGCGTTTAATTTCAGCCCAGTGTGTACGGCTGGTGTTTCTATAGCAGCCGCGGCAGCGGCAGGAGGCAGGGGTAGCAGCCCTACGATGCACGGTTGCGTGCAGCTGCCCCTTGGCCAGCAGGTCCTCCTGGCGGCAATGATGTTGCTAGCCAGGGAGACACCTTTTAGGCTTCCCTGTCCCTGCCCCAAGCGCTGCTTCTCAGGGAGTTGGCCGCGATAGCCATTGCTTCCGATTCCTAACCATGTCAGCAATATTGGACTGCAGTTAAAAAAAGAAGGCGGGGGGGGGGGTCACTGCGGATTGGAAGCAAATGTGGTTCGGTGCGAAGCATGTAATGGAAGGAGGATGAGTTCGTGGGTAATAGGAGCCAGGGCTGCAATGCCCGGGCTACTAGAAACCATCAGAGGACCCGAAAGAATTGATTTGCTTCTAGGGTAATGGAGAGATGAGACAAATGTACTAGCGGCAGCCAGAGGTTCAATTACAACATTTGGCACTGTGGGCACGGCAAGGGAGGGGTGGGGAAGAGATGGCATGCAGACAAGAGAGGCGTTAACCGGAAAAAGGCACAATAGAGGACTCCGGGGAGGGTCCAGACTAGGACTCCTCTCTAATCTGTCTTTGCAACCCCGCCTAGGCTTTTTGGTCACTCTCCGAAGCTGCTGGCGCAGCATGGCCATCTGACAGACGCCAGCCGCTCCTAGCAAGGCTCGTCTTTGGTGCTAGCTCGTGGGTCCCCGTTCTCTTGGTCATTATCTTCTCCTCCCGGAGTTCTCCCTGACGCTGGAGCCATATGAAGTCATATTTCACGTTGGAGATACGTCATGTTTTCAGGGATTGTGACCTTCATGCCAAACCCAATAAACCCTCAGCGTAGCCTTTATCCTCCTGCAGATCTGACTGTAGGTGCAATTCAGTCCTCACCCATATGCCTGCAAAAGCAGAAGTGAGAGACGGTGTGGCATTTTAGGAGTGAGGAATCATGGATTTCAGCCCCTCCCTGGTACTAGTGCTCGTGGTATCCTACACCAGTATTTACTGTCCCCCAGCCTCGGTTCCCCTATCTGTACAATAGAGATAAAGACGTTCCTTACTATGAAGCATTATTGAGAGGATCAGATAAGGGCTTTGTAAATAGTAAGGTACAGACAAATTTAACAAGCTAGTGTGGCGGTCCAGAGTGGGGCTCTGGAGTCCGACTGTCTGGGTTTGAGTCTTTAGGCCCGTATCTCAATGGCATCACTCTCCCTGGACCTCAATTTTCTCATCTGGAAAATGGCAATAGCAGTAGTTATTGCATGTGGAGTTTTTCTCATGAGGATTAAACAAGTTGAATAAATAAGGTTCTTAGAACAGAGCCTGTTCTAACAGTATGGTTAATACAGCAGTTTTCTGTAAGTGTCATCTATTATTTTAGCTCCACGACAATGGCCGCCAGCATTTTCTATTGACATTTTAGGGCATCTTGGGTTGGCAGCAAGCTATTTTTCCCAGATGATTTATAAAGAAATACAGTGTTTGGGGCCGGGGAGATGGCTTAGTAGAATAAGTGCTTCCCTGGCAAGTGCAAGGGCCCGAGTTCAATCCCCGGTTCTGAAAAAAAGAAGGAAAGAAAGAAAGAAAGAAAGAAAGAACATTAAAAAAAAAAAAGAAATACAGTGTTGAGCAGGCAACAGAGAGAAACATGGTTTCCAAAATCCATTGTAGACGTGGGGAAGGTGTCAGAAGCTATGGCAAGCACAGATGCAGAAATTGGGTGACTGGGCTTTTGGCGCGCTTCATTCTCTTCCTCACTGTCCTTTCTTAGACACAGAGAGACTGACCTTTGGTCCAGTCATCTCATTGTGTGAGGCTGAAGGGTACCCTGGGAAATGTTCATTTTACTCTTGACCATTACTTACTAGTGTCATCCAGAATGTACTTCTTTGCGATCTAGCGCTTGGGTGCTCTCTAACTGTGGGATCGCTTACAGGGGCTGAGCATTGACTTCCTCAGAAACTTCCCCATTCCCTGCTGGTCCCTTGGTTAAGATATGTCCCAAGTGCCCTTTCTTCACCCCTGCATCCCCTGGGGAGCAGCCTTCCCATCACAGGCTCCCTTTCTCACCCTGGGACCAAATTGCTGCCTCACCCAGTGCCTGCCCTGCTCAACCTGGCCCTGACTGCCCATCCCAAGTGACATTCCGGAGCCCTCCCACTTGCTAACCTCTCCAGCTTCCACTCCCTGCCTGCCTTCCTCTGCTTCCTCAATATAGTTAGCTGCTCCACTTTTCTGTCCATGAAGAATACCACCTTTTCTGGCCTTCCTTGGACCCAACACAATAGCCCATGTGCCAAGTTCTGTGTCTACCTCCATCTCATCCTGGGTAACACAGTTTGTTGCAAACATGAGTGAGGTAGGGGCTCAGCCCCTCTTGCTTACTGTGCCAAATTTGTAGCTGGAAAAGACATAATTAAAAGAGGGAACAAAATTAATTTTTCATTTTCCATCTAATCAACAAAAACTTGTTGACATTAGCAGTGATTAATTTACCAGTCATGATTCTCACCATCTGGAGTTCAAAGTCTAATGAGGGGTTGACATTAAACTTACAAGGTGCACAAAGGGAAAGAATGAAAAAACTAACAGGAAGAAGACATGAAGTAGGGGGTCTGAGAAGCCGCCTGAGAAAGTGCTGCTTAGTATAAGACCTAAAGGATGAGCAGGAATTGGCCAAGTGAGAAGTGAAGCATTCTGGGCCTCGAAAGCTGCACGTGCTAAGGTCCTGAGGTGAGAGATGCCTTGGCAGGGTGAATGAGCTGGAACAGGGCAGGGAGGCTGGAGCTTTTGGAGGAAGGGGAAAAAGGGCCAACAATGGCTGAGCAATTACCAGAGCATACCATGGAGCGCTGGGCACTTCGTGTGAGGACTTGGCATTTCATCCCGAGTGTATCAGAGAACCACTGAACAGATTTATGCAGGGCTAGGGTGACATCATTTGTTTCAAAACATTGATGCTCAGATATTAAAGTCTGAAAGCCATCTTTTCATCTGAAGGTATTTAAAACAGGTAACAGAAAATGTGTCATGGTGAAAAATAGTTTGCTTCTCCCGTGTCTGTAACAGGAGAAGCAAACTATTTTAAAACCAGACAGTTTGTTATATGCCAGTATCTGACAGTCTTGAGTAACTCAAGGTTGTCAGTGAAATTGAAACTAAATGGAAATTTAGTCATTTATTTATGAGCATTATGATTTTAATCAAATAAGATCTGAATTTGAATGAAATATCCAGATAGTTCATAAGCATAGAGACTACAAAAAGACCGAATTAAATATAGTTCTTACTGAAGGGCTCCTTGTAGGATATTTCGAACAAAGAAGACCCACTACTGGAAACCCTGTGGGAGGGGAGGTTGCCCGCACAGTGCTGGTGTTCTGGCACATGGCATTAAATATCAGTCTCTGGCAGGTTGTTGGCTGCCCTCCCCAGGAGCCTGGGCATGACATCTGTGTGTCTGTGAGAATGTACTCTACTACATGCAGGTACTAATGGGACCCCACACTTATAACCTTTGCTTCATGCTTCTCTGGAACAGCCTTCAGAACAGTGTGAGACTTAAAAGACACAGAGAATATGTCAAAAGCCTCTCTGCCTCTGCCTGCCTGTCTGTCTGTCTGTCTGTCTGTCTGTCTGTCTGTCTGTCTGCCTGCCTGCCTGCCTGCCTGCCTGTCTGTCTCTGTCTCTGTCTCTGTCTTTGTCTGTCTCTGTTTCTCTCCTCTCCTCTCCTCTCCTGTCTCTGTCTCTGTCCTTGTCCCTGTCCCTGTCTCTGTCTGTCTATCTGTCTGTCTGTCTGTCTGTCTGCCTGTCTGCCTGTCTCTGTCTCTGTCTCTGTCTCTGTCTCTGTCTCTATCTCTGTCTTTGTCTCTGTCTCTGTTTCTCTCCTCTCCTCTCCTCTCCTCTCCTCTCCT